CTTAGAAAAAAAATCAAATATTTACACTTACACACTATTTTGTTCTCAATATATCGCGTTTCGCGCTTTCTTGTTGAACAGTCCCGACTTACTATTTTTTCTAAACAGGATAGGTCTGGCACACGGAACTTTTGTCTATGCGTGCGTGTCTCTTATATACTCGTATTGAGGTATTAGCGGTATAATTATTTTAGAGAATTTTCAAAGGGTCTCTCAATGCGCCTGTTCGCGTTCATTTGATGCCTCAAATGGACGCGAACGGGCGCATTGACCGTATTTAGTTAAAAAATAAATATTGAATAGTCATAGATTTTAATTCATTATTCTTATCCATTATCGTATCCATTATATATGAACAGAGGTCGTTTTATTAAACGCTGCGTTCGAGCCGCCCGTTTGAATTATACCAGGGCAGGCGCACTCTATAATTCAACACGTCTACATCAGGAATTAGGCAGGCATCGAAGGGTTAGCGGTAACGGTGCTATAACCTTTCACTATTAGGTATTCTGTGCCCTTGCCGAAGTCGTCAATTCGTTGTCTGATTGCGGTAAGCTAATGAGAGACCGCTGTGGAATGCCAATGGTTTTGTCTACTCTGACCCGTGGCCGTGATATCTGCTTTGAGTAATGTGTGTTTAGGGGTAATATATGCTTATGGTTCGGTTAAATTGAAATCCATCGTGAAACTGCATATATACTGTTAGTTTGGCGTATCGATGTAAAAAAACTGTACTGTAATATGTTGCACATAAGTATGTTATTTTTTGATACATTCGTGGGTGTCGTTTGATTTTTTATTAGCGTTTATGGTGATGTTGTATTAAAGCTTTCATGATTTTTTTTTTATTTTTATCTTTAAGAAAGGTTGTTTTACAAAATAAAACCGTTCTTTTACTATCGACGTGAATAAGACCTTTTTCGAAATGAAAATACCTATATTTTATAACCTTTGCCTTCCGTGGTTGAGTGACTCGTATTTCGATCTCAAGATGCCGTCAAAATGTCAGAAGTTTTGGGTTTGATTCCTGGTCTAATCAATGTTAAAAAACTTAACAATATCATCTCGGATCTGGGCGATACCTTCATTGTTATAAAATTGCTAAAAGCTGCTTAGGAATCTAAGCAATATGTATGATACTAGCCATTTTCTTGCGACTTTGCCCGTAAATTATATAGCTTCCCGTAGATGAAAGAATTCTTAAAATTGGCCCAGTAGTTTTGAAGCCTATTCAACGCAAACAAATAAACAATTAAATTTTTCTTCTTTATAAAATTAGTATAAATAGTCTTATATCTAATTTATTTATTTATATAGGAAACAGATTCGTGCGTCACAAAATCCATGAGTAATATTAAACGGTTAACTATTAATTTTGACATAAATATAAAATACATTCTTTGATGTCCATCGTATAACAAGAACTTACATAAACTAACAAACGCGTTTTGTTCGTGTTGTAACACTATGTGTGTTTCCTGCTAATATAATATTTCCGTTTTATTGCTTCTATTATTATTGTGAATACGTAATACGGTATTTAATTAATATTTATCGGTGACTCGCTCTCGTGGCTATAAACATTTGGTAAGCTTCTAGTTAGTATAGTTTCTTTCTATAATCTTTAACAATCGTAAATGTCTATGTCTGTGATATATGTACAATCGTATCGTATATCGTTTTATATCTAGAATATTTATGTCTCTATCATTTACTAATCTAATTTTCTTTTTATCTATAGGTACTAGCTGCTTTACCATGAATTTGCCTACGTAAACGCGGGAGCTATAGGCTAATAGCACCCGTGTATAATGTAGCTACCCGCAAGTGAAATAATATTCAGGATCGTATCAATATTTCCGAATATAACCCCTACAAATAAACCAATGTAGGTAGTTTGACATTCGAAATATAATATTTGCACGCCTGCGTTAAAGGAAAAGCTATTGTTGAGCGTAAAACTGACTTTATATCTGTACTGATATAATTTTTGAGAAAGTGAATGTTACGAGTATATTTGTAAATAGATGTTATTCAACTTATAAAAATACATTAATAGACAAGGAATTTCCAATTCATCCTTTTTGTTCAAAATATAATACCTGTGTGTGTTTTAGTTAGTTTACAAATTTTTCATTAATATTTAAGAATGTTTATTCTTACTTAATTTTACGAAACACTTTCCTGAGAAAAAAGGTATAGACTAAGATCATTAACAAAACAAAAAGTCTGCAAGCTGGCGGATGTAAAACCTTTCCGCAACGACTGACAACAAAGTGTTCCTAGAGGAGGCCTAGTTATTTGTTCATAAAAAGAAAAAGAAAGCGGAATCCTGGCCCAGACTCTTCGTTGTCAGTCTCTCTGTCTGTTGGTTAAGATCCTTAAATTTGGGAACGCGTGGAGATATCGAATTGAAATTAAAGTCTATAAGCTCAGGTCTAGAGCCCTTTAAAGCAGTGAAAATAAAACTTCTAAATCAACTATTATATTTGATCAATTTTGTTTTATTTCATTCACAATGCTATAGTGAAAAATATTTTTAATGAAATATGCTTTAAAAAAGTCCACTTTGTCTCTGGTACTCTGATATGAGACTAGAACCTATGACCTTTCGCACTTCGGGCGAACCACTGAACTACCTAGGATCTCACAGGACTGACGAAATTAACTCGAAAAAAAAACAGTAGTTTCTGCCGCACATTTTGATACTCTCAATGGTACTTTTCGTTTGACCTAGAACTATGAAATTTGGCAAGTATAATCGTTATAATCTAAGATAATTTATAATACTAGTTCAAGGATAATTTAAAACTTTACAGTTGTAGGTAACTAAACATATTTTAATCAAAATTTAAAATCAAACTATTAGTTCAAGTGGAATGAGGAATGTTATGAAAGGGTTTGATGTGTATATTCAGAACATATTAGTCGGTTCGAGAAATTTCCATTATTTGTAACCTACAAAGTACGGAACAGTCGATGGTGAGTCTGAACTCACTTGGCCAGTTTATTCTAATTTACATAATTTTATTTAAAATTACACTGCCGTTAGCACTGATAATTTATGAAAACTCTCAAGCATGTCATGTAATGAATATTGTCTGTCCAGAATTCAGGACTTTGTTTGACAGTAATTTGGCAAATTAGCGCATTAAAGTTTTACAAATTTGGCTTAAACGCCACATAAGTTTCCAGAGTTACCTAATTGGGTAAGTGCAATAATGCGGCATTCGTGTCGAGTGAATTTGTGGTATTTTCTTAAGTTTCCATTGCGAATCGGACACAAACTTATTATTTATTACTACATTTATACGGTGTAGGGTTGTTACACATTATTTATTTTCGGTTTCGTTAGAGATATTATAAAAATATCAGTAGTTCAAATTATAATTTTCGATACATACAAGAATGTGTTATTATGAAAAATTATCTTTCAAATAATACCTCCTGATCTCGCATTTATAATATTGATTTATAAAGCTATTTTCCCACTATGTCACCCGTGTATGGCGTAGCTTACCGTTGGTGAAAAGATTTTTCAAATCTTTCCCGTAGTTTCATACCTCTACAATCTAAACGAATAATCAATTCTTACCTCTATATAATCTATACATAATATTTATAAAACAAAGTCACTTTCCGCCGTCTATACGTTGAGGTCTTTTAAATTACACAACAGATTTTGATGATGTTTTATATACAGAGTGATTAAAGAGGAAGGTTTATGAGTATAACACAGGACCATGTGGTTACAGCCGCTGGCGGAAAGCTAGTATTAGTATAGATTAGTAATCATTGTTATATCTTAAAGTGTATATAAACAAAGAAAAACATAAAACGGCGAAAAATTTTAACTAAGTTAAAACTTATATTTTTATCTGTAATTTCACTATAAAAAATATATTAAAATATTGTTACTATAGCTGATTGACAACCCTGCAGAAGAGTGGTTCCATTTGGCTAAAAGGTGAAGGCGCTGTTAAGTATCAAGATTCGAGTGAAACTCGAATAATTATTGTCACAGAATAAGCAAGGAAATAAATTAATAGCCGAAGGCATGGGTGTACATAGTACATTTCGAATTTGTAGCTTGTAAAATACATAGTTGTTGTTAAGTACGCGTAGGTAGTTGGGTATTAGAAGTGGGTTATGGGGAAATCTTATATACTATCGATGTTTGAGATAAGATAAACTTAAGTAGCTTAAATAAAACTTATTTATTCAATTATTAAACTAAGCAGTTTAGGAAGTGTGCTAGTTTTGAATTTATTATGGAGTAATATGCTAAAGAGGAATAATTTTAGCGATAGAAAAATATACAAAGTTACGCCTAAAATATTATTTCAAAGAGATTTTATAATTTTAGTGTTAAATTTTTTTTTTGTAAAATATCGCCATAAAACTTATATGAATTTGGATATGACTGAGTTTTATCGACTGAAGATATAAAATTCAAAGCAAAGAGAAGGATGAAAAATTGAGGGTACGCAGAAACAACTATGGCCCCTTATAACAGCGAATAGCATTGCTTTAAAAGGGAGGGAAAATGAAATATTATAATATGTATATAAAGAACAGATATAGCGGCTAGGGTGTTGTGGGTGGGGCAAATACAATGGTGTCACCAAATGCACTATGGAAATACCAGGACATTCAGTAGTGTTAAAGAAAAAAAATGCCCTTACCTAGTTTATTGCCACTTCTTTTTAGTAAAAATTCTTTCATCATAGATTTGCGAACCAGATGATAGTTTTCGACTTAATGTTTACGATTAACAGCCTAAACTGTATAAATTATATTGAATTTTCGAGTAATACTATTGCGCATACCAAGATGCTATTGGCTGATGATTAGTGATGCTTCTGAATAAAGGTAGACCAGTCTGTGATACAGTCAGGTTTTTGGATTTTATACGAGTTATACGATATAATAAGTTTAAGACACCACAATAAACACAAACTCATTTACTTTCTGTAAGGATAAGCAAGCATTGTCCTTACCTGATTTCGGAGGGAGGTCGGTAGGCGGCGCTGGTGACGTAAACGTCTGAGCCGGAGTCGGCGCGCGGCGACCCGTTCGGGTGCCGTCGACCGTTCCGCGCCTCGCCGTTACCGTGCCGGGCCTCGCCGGACGGTGACCGCGTCCTTTCGTCCATCGTCGTCTGAAACAATTTTTGAGTATTCAATTTATAATAAACGAGTGCTTGACAACATCTATAGCAGAGTGGTTTGCAGATTTCAAGATGTCGCCATCTTTGAAGGCAGGGGTTCCATTCCTAGTTAGGTTAATATAGAAAATAAACTTTTCTATATTGTGTCGGGTCTGGGTGTTGTGGTTGTTGTGGTACAACGTTATCGACTTCCAGTATACAAATGTTTCACTACATAGTTTAGTATCTGAGAAATTTAGGTGTATGAATATTTGTGAAAATATTTATTTCAGCTGTTTGGGTTGATTGCATGAACGTTGATGAATATTTTCAGTGAAAAAGTAACAAGAGTTTGAAAGATTCGTCAGTCCTGTTAGGTCCTGGGTAGCTCAGTAGTTAGAGCAATCGCCAGGATTGGGAAAGGTAGTGGGTTCGAATTACGCCTCAGAGTGCCGGGGACAAAGTAGATTTTTAAAGCTTTTTTCATTAAGAATATAGCACTCTGAATGCAAAGTTGATCAAATATAATAATTAAATAGATTTTTATACTAAATGTTGTTATATAATGTAGGTTCAGAATAAATGAGAGTTATATGATTAAAAGATTATACCACATAAGTTTCATCTAAAATAATGTTAAAAAATTAAATATTATTATATGAAAAAAATCGATATATTAATCAAAATTATATTATTCGAAGGTATAGGTTAAAGGTTATATAAATTTTGTTATTATGCCATATATTACTCTACTCCGATGCTGTATCCTTTTCGATTTTCTGGATCCCCCGCAGTGGATTTTATTAGGTAAAAACTTACCTATACACTAAGTTAACACGACACTTTGACTTCACTTTTTGGGCAGGTCCTAGTGGTTGAAGTGAGATTGAAGGTATAAGAGATATTTCTCCTACGTTGCAAAAGAAGAAAGGTCATATTAACCACCAATGATGTTACCTCACAGACCACGACCTCTTTATTAAGAGCGATTTATTTTTGTAACGTTTATTAGCATTAAATATATTATCTAATCTAATATTATATGCAATATGAATAGACACACTAAGAGACTAAATCAAGGAAACAACATAAAACCAAAACAAGTTCAAATGTTATTTTTATTAAGTAAATAGTGCACGCGGAAACATAAGATGGATAAAATTAAAAAAGATATGACTATGTGATCCGTATCCATCCATCTACATATAAGCGGTGGTATGTACATATTGGTGTTCATAACAAAACGATAAAATCTATATTCGTATACAGAGTTAATAACCGTTTAATTTCCAGTCAATATTGCCATTTTGCAAACAAGGACTGTTTTAAGGTTGCCACGTAAGATTGTCAAGTCACTGATACCATATTATTCTTATTAAACATTGTTTTTTTTATATTAGGTTAGTCTTATTTTATACTAGGTTAGTCAAGACTCAAGATTATCAAATAAGTAGCTCGAGCTTTGAACATTTTGGTTGACAGCCAACACGCGCGGGATAGCGCTACCGAGTTCTCATAGAACAGGCAAAACTTAAACTCTCTAGCTTGAGAGTTTTTTTGTAAGTATTTTTATTAGATATCAATGTTGTGTTTGCAAAATTTACAAAATACAATTAGTGCCTTTTTTGTAGTTGAATTATTAAAAAAAAAATATATATATTTGGCGTATAACGAAAGACGCTCTTATCTCTTGCACCATACAACAAAATATTGATTATAAGCTCCACATTTCGATCATGTCGATGTTATGGCGTTTTAATCGCATCCGAAATGTACGTGCGCGTACGCCAGAAATAAATCGACATGTGTTTTCATTTGATACCAAAAGCAACACTTGTTATATTGAATTTTATATTCATAGATAATATATGAAGCTTACGTAAAGAAGTTATGTGACGTAAGTCAATATCATTTTGAGTATTAATGCCTGCTGAGTTCGATTTTGGCAACAAATAATTAAACAATTTCTGCTTCTGTAAATATTAAAAATCAAATATTTACAGTATAAAAAACAAGTCATTGAAGTTTTCCTTTAAATTTATTTTTAACCTTTTAATTATCGCTGCATAAAATACTTCAGTAGTGCACCGCACCATATTGGATTTAGAGTGATGTCACATTATTTTTCAAATTATTCTCGGTAAGCTCTTTTTTTTTTGATACCCACATACACAAGAAGTGCATAAATCATAAATATTCCGCCATATTGTATTTAAAGTAACTTCATATTCAAGTTACTCTCAATAAGCCCTTTCATTTGATACCCATATTGTAGATTAAAAATAACTATTACTCCATCCTGTATGATCCGCCATATTAGATTTAGAATGAGGTCACATTATTTTTCCAATTACTCTTAAAGAGCCCTTTACCCATATTGTAGAAGGGCATTAAAAATAACTATTCTGCCATCTTGGATTAAGAATGACGTCACATACCTTAACATGCATTGTCATCCAAACTAAACGTGTATACAACATTTCATCTCAATCGGTTGCAGATATTTACTTCAAAATTGAGTTCAAAGATTCTACCCGAACAGACATATTTACTTACATTGCAAGTTAAACAAAAGGATTTTTAAAAATGTTCTATTGTAACTAGTTTTCGTGGCAAAAGAAAAAGCAGAACGACTTATAAGTTACTTTTTAATTTCTGGAAAAATTTTTGACACATTGAAATAATTTTCGTGTCAAAAGAAACAGCAATTTTTCATTTTTGTTGTATGGTTTCATGAACCTTGAAACAAAACTTTTTTCTCAGAGATAAGAGAGTAGATATTTTAAAAAATGGGGTAATTTTTATCCTACTTACACGATTTTGTTTGCTTTCTTTCGGTCGCTGTTACGGATATTGTCCAGCTATGTGTTACCGTTTTATTTCAGAATTCAAAATATGATTTAAGTTATCAACTCACCGTATATTCTGACAAGGTCCTTTCAGAGGGCGCTCTGTGACTATCATTCTCATCCCTGGACGATCCCCGATGCAAATATGCACCAGACGATGGTGAGTCCACACCGGACCGATGTGTCGCCACATAATGATTGTTTTTAACTTTATGCGCCATCTTTTACTCTTTATAAAATCTTAGGTGACGCTCACACACATTTTCAAATGTCGAATCAACTCCGCGCGCTCGACCGTGACATTTTACTTTTTTAATTTATTACTTTTTAATTTTACACAGTCTTTCGCCGCTCGGCTTGAGTTTATGTCTAATCAGTCATCGTTCGTTCTAGTTCCGAATGATTGGATCTTGATTTTCGTTCGTATCTGGCGCGGTTATTTCCTTTTGTAGGTCAGCTAGGTACGTGGATCTGTAACAAAGAAAAGGTTGATTATTTTATAGGATTTATTATTTGACCTTTTTTGTTCGACCTTCACTAAAAATAATTTCGTGCCAATCATTTCTGACCTGCACGTTTCAAATGAGTTTGTTTGTTGTGATATAAGAAAGTAAAAAGTAAATCAAGAGAAAGAATTTGGGAGATTTTTCATATACATTTACTTTTACTTTATAGAAGTAAATTGGAATGATCTATCTGTAGATTCCATGTAGTTATTAATTAATCGATTGAGGTCATAACCGATCGAATCTGGCAAAAACTTGACTGACACATCAGGGTTCGCTCGATAATAAACAATAATGAGAACTTTAGCTTTTGTAATAACTGGAATCAGTTCCGTGATAAAATCAATGAAAGTGGTTATTGTTGCAAGAATATGTACCTGTAGATACCATGGAAACCATGACTTCTTAATAGAATATTGTTGCAACCTTTTTGGTAGTTTAAGTAGCTATTTCTTTGCAAATTGATCTGTGAAATTTTATTGAGATAAAGTAGTTAAGACAGTGTTCGTTAGCTTGGATATTATTTACTTTCAGACTTAAATTTATCAAGAAGTATTTTTTTGGGTTTTAACATATTTAACTGGACTTTTTAGATTTAATCATTTTCAATTTAATTCAGAATATTATTCTCGAGCAATTTTGAAAAACATTATACGTAAAGCATGCCTACATTGAGGCTAGACACTCATATAACTACCACTTATTTCTGGATTAAAGTTTCCAGATTAGTCAGCCCATGAGAGTTAATTGTATATTAAATTTGTTTCTTTCTTAAGTAATTAATGAATCAACAGATTTATTAAATTCTTTATAATATATATCTTATTGTTGCCTTACTAAGATTTTTCTTTAAGCCAAACAAATTTAAATGAAGATTTCTATTGTTATTAGTAACACATTACTAAGTAGGTAGCTGTTGAGCTTTGGAATTCAATAGACTGCTAAAACATGAAAAACAAATTCCTCGTTCAAGACACCTTGCAAGAATAATGTAACTTTTTTCATACGGTCAAAACTCTATCAAGTTAAAAATAAAGTTCAAATTTAAAAAATATCAACACAAATTATACTTGCAGGTGGGTAAAATAATAGTAACAATAGCATGTCGATGGTCGGAATCGATTATAATGACGCAAGTATCGAGTACTCGATTGTATCGAATGCGGACAGCCCCGTGGTTTGTCGGTAATGTTTCGGTTATAATTTGTAGTATTTTATAGATCGTATCGTAACAATTTGTAATAGAAAAAAATAACTATTTAGGCCTACCGTTCGATCATAAATGGTTAGTCGTGGTATTGTAATCTAAGATTGCGTGATAGGCAGATAACTATATTTACTATATGTCCTTGACTGTGTTTAAAACTTTTCAATGTGCCGGAAAATATCATTTAAAATCTATAAAAACAAAATATAAAAGTGATTCGCTCGCCAGTATCAAGGTGTCGCCATCTTTGAGGACCTGGGTTCGATTTCCAGTACGGTCGATGTAGAAAAGGATACTCCATAATAGGAGGGATTTAGCTCTTGGAATGTATTAGGTTGGGGAAACTCTTTTATCATATAGTATGCATAAACTTGTAATAAAATCAAAGCCAGATACAAATGGCTACGTTGGGACGAACATACTACAAAATCCTTAAATAAAATAGAAGAAAAATATCATACACGGCAAAAATATGAAAACATAAAAGGGGGGAGGGGGAAGCTATATGTAGTTTCTGGACTGTTTTAAAAAAACATAGATCCGGGTCTGATGAAGAGCACTATGGTGCATTTGTCAAAAGTAAGTAAGTACGGTCTGAAAGTAAGCAACTTTAGGCCGGTCATAGGATGGGTGACCAAAAATTTATACCAGCTTCTTCATGCATCGGTAATCGTTAATACCCACTAATCCGCACTGGGCGTGCGTTGTGGGTCATGACCCATTCTCGTTTTTCGATTTGATCCTTAGGGAAGACCCATTAACGGGTTGGTGATGATTATGAATTCCTCATTCTCTATCCCTTCTATCTATATCTATGCCAGGCACAACATGACAGACCGGGACAGCCTTTGACTTTACCCCTCCTCTTAAATTTTAGCCATGGTTCCCGTTCGGATAATGGGTATACAGTAACCATTATCCAAACGGGATTGACACTCATAAAGGTAATTTGCTTCTAAAAATGTTAACCTGTATAAAAAGTAAACAAAACAAACTTAAACTTGTTAACACATTTAACTGTTTAGACACGTTTAGTTTATTGTCAAACCTGTGCCATTAAAGTCAAAACATTATTTCTTTTAAGGCTCAGACCTCACTGTAATTAAACGCAAGTCTGAAATTTAGCAAATTATTGTTCTGAGGCTCAAGCGCACTGCGCAGTGCAGTCTCAGCCATAAGTCCAAATTCACTTTCAGTAGAATTGATTTTTTTAAGAAAGGCCGTCAGCGAATTACATCGTATCTATTAATCTAAGGATTGCAACGTCAATAATCTACTTAGCGTCTCTATTGGTGGTAATCTAACGTGGTGTAATGCGTGCTCGCAATCCTATACAATACTCCTTTATACTGTAATCAGTTTGATGAATAGACTAGCCACTTAAGAATAACATTTTTAATTCAACACATAGAAACTGCTAGCCCGCTTTAAAAAATCCTCATCTTCGGGAAGCGTTAACATAAGCTTGACACACGCTATAATTTACGCGGGCAAAGTCACGGGAAAACTGCTAGTATTTACATATAATTTTCCCTTAATATCTCATAGAAGTTATCAAAATAGCATTATGATTGCATCATACCACTATAGATCCTAGATCTAGTAAAGAAATTGCGAGCAGAATCTATTTTTAAAGTAACCTAAACAGTAAATAGAACTATCAAAAGTTTGTTACAACATCGGGTATGACTCAAGCTATCAAGTGATCGATTTTCGAAGCGTTGCAACAATGCGAATATTGTCTAAGCGCATAGAGTTGCCAGGCCTCCGGATAAAGCGGGACATAGGTAGACTTTTAGATTGCGTGTCCGGCCAAAATAAATGGTGTCCGGCTTGTTAGGCTGTTTACATTTGGCAAATGAGTGAGCGCTGAGCGTGGCTGAGCACAGGTGATGCGACAGATTTTATCATAATAATAAAAAATGATTGATTTTACATACAATTTTTTTAGCGTACTAAGACACAAATCCTCAATAAAGGGAGGCCAGCTTTTCTATCCAAATGTCGGACCATACTGGCTGGTCTATCCGGCTGTTGGGTTTGGCGACCTGGCAACCCTACTCATAGCTCTGATACTAAGTTGGCTAACATTACAATTAATGATCACGTTATCATCACGATCACTATCGTTAATGTCACTGTACCAATACTTATTATCTAGTTAGTAATTTATGAAATGCTTGTTAGCACTTCGATTGGAACAAGTGGCTTAATCCTTGGTGGTGTAATTAATCACTTTGAAATGTGCTGTCAATGGAAACATAAAGACGCTTTAAGGTTTTATATCTCAAAAGAAAAAATAAATCCTATTCGGATGTTTATCGTAAAAAGTTTAGTATATTGTATTGTGTAATACGATTATTAGTATTAGATAGATAAAATTAAATTATATAATGTATTTATATAAAAACAATAATACTTTACTATTTTAATATGTAATTTTATCGAATTAGACAACAATAATGTGAATAAATATGAACGAAATGGTATTCTTGGACATATTAAATCAATATATTTTCTGAAATTTATTCTTTCAGAATATTTTTATTTATTAGTATATCATTTTCCCTTATAAATTGTTCATATTATAAATATACATAATACGATTCCAATTATTTAACACACTAATACTGCAATAATTTTAATACTTCTTAAATATTACGACATAAAAATTCAAACCTTCTTTTTAACTTCATTTAAATCAGTTACCGATTTGAATTTCATGTTACACATGCTTGCTCCACTATTACCAAATTAAAAAAAATATCGTTCCTACAAAGAATAAAGACATTCGACCCATCAACATCCCATTACAACAGTAACCTTTGACAAAAAACTAATAACATCACAAAGGAACAAATCTTTAATTACACAATCTTTTGGTAACAATACTCTCTCATACATTAAAAACATAATGTATCCCAGTCATAGCGGCGTCTGCATATTACTATCCAATAATAAATCTAATCTACTCGGTAATGTATGTTGAAGATAGTTTTAATAACAACGTTACTCTCAGTATTGGCCTGTGGCTTGGGACTTTGAGAACCAATCAGAAAGTCATCAGACAGATTATATTAACACCTTTTTCGTGTTATGAATCAAGATCATATAGGAACGTTGCTCTACCAATTCCATGGTAAAGGCGTCTGTTAAATAAGTTTTGTTATCCAGTCGGATAAGATATATTAGGACTTCAGCGATGTAGTGGCTAGATATTAATTGGCCTATTGATTTGAAGGTGTCGTATCTTTTCTATAGGTTTGAAATTCTGAATGTGTCTAGTGGATTTCAAATGCTTGGTATCTGAATGAGTACCTATTATAAATTAGTAAGTGGGATCTGAATCGCAAATTTTTATTTGCTTGTTAAGATTCTTTTATCCTATAATTGCTCAGTGTCGTCTCGAGTCTGACTCGTTTAAAGCTTTATTGTTAAAAACGTGAAATTATGATATAGCAACTTACGCACGCAAATTCTCATGTACAAACAGCAACAAATCTCTCAAAATCACCACTATACACGTGTTTCGCCTCTCCACGGAGCATCTTCAGGAGTTGTAAGAGCTTATAGCGCCAGCCACCTTTAGAGATTTAATGGTACCCAAATTTATGGCCTCGCTTTAATGGTACCCAATCATAAAAAAAGATACTGAATAACAAAATTGTATTGGCCACTGACTTACTTTCAAATATGTGGTGATCGATTAGATTGTAAATGTAATTAAAACTCCTCCCTTCCTATTCAAATAATAACTC